ACCATGAAATTAAGTTTTGCAGATTTATATATATATAGATATTATTTTTTCTCCCCTCCTGTATCCTTGCGGCTTTATTTGGGTGGTTTTTAGACTTACTGGTTGTGGGAAAAGGCTCAACGGTTTTAATCTGTTTGTTCCCCTCCCTGCAAAGGAAAATGCAGCTTTTGCTGCTCCTCAGGCTCGGACAGGAACTGATTTTTCGGCTGACGGATCTCATTACTTTCCCCCTTCCGTGGGTCGTTGTGTTTTGCTTTGACAGTGGAACTCTCGAGCTCCCCGCTGGCGCATCCTCAGCGAGTTACTGAGCGATGGCTTTGAAATGTCTTTGGAAACCATACTAGTGTGGCTCCTCGTCAAGAGATCGGATGATTTTGTAGGAGAAAGCATGCAAGGAGATTTTTCGAAGTGGGCAGATGAGTAGGAATCAGATCGCTTGGTAACTACACATTACATTCCATTTCACCAAGTGAAAATGACTCCAGCAGTGCTTCTTGCAGGCACCGTTTGGAAAGCTGCCTTCCAAGTGCCCTGCAGTCAGCTCCTCACTCGTAGCTCTTCCTGAGAGCTGTTCGTGTTCATTATTCATTCAAATGTAAGCCTAAAATTTTCATCTTGCGTGTAGAGTACCAAAATAAAAAAACCCCCAAACCTATCAAGTAAAAGGAAAAAAAAAAATAAATGAAACAAACCTGTATGTTTTAGGAAACATACTCAGTTACTGCTGTTACAATAACTAATAGGGAGATGCTTAGGTGTACATGGGGGGGTGTCTGTATTTTTAACCTTGCTTTCTTTGTGTAATTTGTGACATTTAATTTCCTACTGGCTGGCAGTTAGGCCTTACAAACAGGAGAATTTTTCAGGCAGGAAAGGGAGGGGGGAAGAACATTTACAGCCACAAAACATCGGGGTTCCCTTGCAATGCCTGCATCAAATCTTTTAAACTCGGAACTGGCTGTGTTGTCTAACTCCCTCTTCTGTCTGTCAGTCTGTCTGTTTGCCCTCCTTCTGCCAATCAGAAAGGATTTAGAATTTTTTTAGGGGCATCTGTTTTTACCTGCTCAGTGGAACGTTAGTCTTGCATTAGGGGCTTTTTGGTGAAGAGTCAAATCAGAAATGGATGCACACACTGAAACTGAAAACTCCCGTAAATCACTAGGGCGGGGAAAATCAGAGTTTGCTTCTTATTCCGGAAGTGTTCTAAAACTGTACGTTAAGTGCACCAGCGTTATTTTATGGCTTTGGGGAAGCCTGGATACCTGTGTGGCATAAAGCTGCCGGAGTGACGGTGCTCAGCACAACCCCAGGACGAGCAGCAGCACCTCAGACAGGAAAAGCCGCGAGTTGGCTTCATTTTAGGAAACTTACAGGAATATGTAAGCTATGGTGTGATATATATATATATTTTTTTTTTCTGTTTTTCTCTGTGTCTGCATCAGAGAACTTGCCTGTCTCTTTTCAGCTGTAACAGGAAAACATGCTGGTAAAGACACCAGTTATGTTTATTTTTGTGTACTGCAGTACCTGCAGTTCCTGCCCTTAGTCATTGTCCTCAGTCTTTGGAATAAGCTGGTACAGAAATGTTTTCAAGGTGTTTTTTTTCCTGCTTTTCCAGGATAAACCTGGTAATGAACAAAGGATGTTTTTACCATTTGCTTTAATGCTGTCATGGTCTGACGTCAGCACCTTCCCGACTTTGCTCAATCAGTGCTTTTCTCATGTATTTTGTTGGTAAACAGATGGAAATTAAACTATTGTGCAGGATTAAATCAGCTTCCTTTTATACAGTAGCGTAATAGTTGTACACCCTAGCTGTTTCAAATGAATAATTTCTGCCTGTTGAAGTGTTTCATACTAATTTCAGTTGTTCTTTTCCAATGGATTTTGATTGAATTCAGCCACCTTGTACCCCAGTATAATTAGTTTATGCTTATAAAATAATTTTTGATGTTTAATTCCAGTTTGCTTAAAATATGGTGCATCTTTGTGGATCTTTTAGATGTTTTTCATGTCTTGCAGTGAAACCGGGCGTTTTGGATGATGGTGGTGCCGGGAGGCGCCCCGGTCATACAGCAGGATCATGCTCTGGAGCCGGACTTAGGACGAGACTCAACGGAGAACTCTGCCATGGGCCCTGACATGGAGCCAGCGTCCGAGGAGGTTGGCCCAGAGCTGGAGGAGTTGCGAAAGCTGCCGGAGCTGGTGAGGAGACTGGAGATCGAGAATCAGCACCTGAGAATGAAGAGTAGCAGGAGCATGCTTGGGACAAACACGCAGAGCGAGATCCGTCCTGGCGTGGATAATCACGACTCTGGCCTTAACGGGATGGAAATTCGTAACAGCATCAATGCGATAACAGAGAAGCAAGAATTGCAAATAATGGCAGATCTGCACACCCAGTTAAGCAAAATGAGAAAAGAGGAAGGAGAGAACAACTGCTTAAAAAAAGACATAGGTGCCCCAATGCAATATAGTTGTAACAGTGCCACTGAGGAATTGTCTTCCAGCACGGGTAAGGCGGAAATGAAGACCGATGAGAACATCAGATGTTCTTCACATATGGATACACGTCATAGCACGGAGCTTATGGGGAACTTGGTCGTGGCAGGTATTGATTCCTCAGTTAAAATAAATGAACAAAATCCCAGTGAAAAATGTGGAGATCTAGGAAATCTTTCCAATAACACGGATCTGGATGAAGTGAAAGTGTTAGAACTTGAAAGTTGCAATGAAGAAGAAGATAGCTGGTATGTATTCAGAGCTTTGGCAATATGTGGGACTTGGGCTGCTGCGGGTGGGAGTTTCTGTGTTTAGGTGTGCAGTCATTGTGGAGGGTATGAAGTGGTTCCTCTACAGTGCCTTAATTTTTAGCAGCAAGAATGCAGTTCTCATTATCAGCAGTTCTTCAATTTGAGACCATTGTGCCAGAGCATCATTATTTTATTAAAAAAAAAAAAAAAAAAAAAAAAAGGTTTAACTACGTGGATTGTCTTTTCCCCTTTATTCCTGATGCTGCTGTGGCAAGCACAGAAAACTTCCTTTCCCTGTGAGTTTGTTTATATATAATCCACACAGAGGATTTAACCTTTCTACATAACTGTCAAATACTGTATTTAAATAAGTTTGGGGTTGTTTTAAACACAAACTGAGACCTTAGACCATCTGGAATTTGTGGCTTTTGCTAGCATTGAAGGAGACAAACCATTTCCATTTCCTGAATGCTGTTCCTTTGCAGTTAACCTGTTTCTTTTGTTTAGAGACAAGAACTGGAACAGCTCAGTGATGTAATCCTCAACTGACCTTACTGTGCAGGGCTCTCCACCAGCAGCCTTGTTTAGAACTTGTTTTATAAATCAGCAGATTCATTTCCCTTGCCCTTCCAAAGCTAGTTAAGGTTCGAGGCTAATTGCAGCTCATGCAGTAGCTGGGACTTGAGATGTTACCCAGAGTTCCTAATTGTAAGACTTTGTGGGGTAGCCTCAGGGATCAGCAAATTGTGTTTCGGAACTGTGTAGCGGGACATTAATCTGGCAGCAGAGACAGCGTTGCAGAACAGTTGCTGAATACAAAACAAATCTTAAACTACAAAAATTCTCTGGCCGTTACAAGTGAAGGAAAACTTTGGTTTGTTAACGGAATGGAGCTCAATAACGTAATGATGTCAGCTCATTAAAGTCTAGATTCAAGGCTAGATTAAAAACATGAAATTTTTTTTTCTTTTCAAGCTTTCTTTTAAAACCCAACTACTGGTTCTAAATTAATCACTGAAACTCTTTAGCATACCTAACCAGCATTTTGAGCAGATTTCTACCTTTTTGGTAATATAATTAACAAGTTGAATTTGGAAGACAGGCTTCATTATTTCCATGCTAATGAAAACCACCAGTTTTATATTCATGTTTATATAGCCTGTGACATGAGAGATTCTTCAAACTGTGTTGACTTGGTAAAGAAACCAGAGCGAGTCTGAGATCTACACAGGCAGTGAGTGCTGTCCGGTGCACCGGGAGAGGGTCTGCGCCCAGGGGCTCGGTTTATTAACCCTCCCTTGAGTTGGTGGCTCAAGGCTGTTCTTTAACAGGTACCCTGCTCTCTAGACCTTGCAGGATCTTCCTGGTTTTGATACCTCCATTTTCTTGTCAAATTCGGTTAATATAGGCTAACAGATTAACAAGAGGTGCCGCAAGGAGCTTCAGTAAAGGTGGTATTATGGAGCTCTTGTGCAATTTTTATGATCATAAATTACTTTTGATTGTGTTGCATTGCTTCCGTCTGTTTTGTTCTCCTCTTGTCAAGTAAACCCAGTAAAACAAGAAGCTGTTTGTACGATGGCTTCTTCCTGAGCTCTTCAGCTAAACTGAAATTGGGGAACGAGTAACGTATGTCCAGCCAGTAGTGCGTGGCTGTGCTTGCTGACAGCGATCCCAAATCCTCTTCATAAGCATGTCTCGCGTACTGTGTGTGCAGGTATTGGTGCATTCCTGTCAGCAAAAACCAGAAAACAGTGCTGGGGAGGGGGAAGGCTTTTTAGAAAAAAAACAAACAGAAAACCCCTAATGCTGTGTGGATTTAGGATCAGCTTTAATGAGGTGGCTTTGCTGACTGGGGGAGTTTTGTACTGCAGTGGATCAGTCAAAGCCAATAGCTTGCTATACTGTTATACTTGCAGTCCTTTTTGTAATACTATACCGTAAGAAAAATTAATATTATACCAAAAAAATCCATAGCTAATATTGGAACACATCATGTGTACTTTGATGCTTCCGATTTTTACTGATTTCTGAGAAGTTTGTTTTTTCCTGTCACTGCTGAGTTGATAAATTTTACCAGGAAGGAGTGGGTCTGAGGATTTGTTCCTGTTCTCTGCAGGTGCAGGTGCAGTCCCAGTGTCTGCACTGTTTCAAAATGATTTGTTTTATTCCGATGAAACTTGCAAACCTTTCTGTGCAGCTTCCCTTGGCTTTGGGAAGATCTGTGTGGGCTAATGTTTTGTTTTTAAAAATAAACATTGCAATGGCAGACCTCCTGTGAAACACGAGGCACTGCATCACCCGCGGTACCTGTAACCCTGCCCTCCTTCGGGGTCTGTCCCTTGACTTCCTCTCTTGGTCACTTTCTCAAGTAGCTGTTCAAAATTGTAAATATCCCCAAGACCCAATCAAGCACAAGGTGGCTTTCTGTGCTGTTGAGTTCACCGGGATGTTAACTTCGACTTCCTTCCCTGTGCTTCAGCGCCGTTACCCCTATGGAAGGGAACAAACCAGATACGCTTGCACCGTGTTTGTCTTCCGTAGCGTTTGTCATTCTGGGGTACTCCTGATACACAAGAATTCAGTTCTGTGTTTGTGTGCACTTAGTTTATCATTCTTCGTGCAGTGATTTGTGTTCAGCACTTGCTGCATGTTCCCATGCTGCCTGCCTGGTGTTTTGCCAATTGCCGGTTATTTTTCCTGGTAAGACTTGGGAGAGATAATTTTGACTGCGATTTATGATGAAATTATTCAAATTCCAACCCCCTCTGAACTATAAAGAGTTCTTATTAATGTGTCCTTGGATGAAGGAGGGAAAGAAATGGCAGAAGGGAAAAGCCTTAAACTTTTTCCAGACTCTTTCTCCTTTTTACTGGATTAGACTGTTTTTGCCTCCGTCTCCAGGACCGAACTCTCTGTCCGTGCCTCAAAAAACAAAACCCCCCAAACAAAACACACCGTAACACTCAAGCAAATCCGTGTGACAAACATTTTCTTTACATTTCTTTTAAATAGTGGAGTTTCTTTTAGAAGAATATCTAAAATATATGGGTGTGCATGTGAAAGTACAGGTATACTCAGCCTAACGTGGTTCTGGTTTTTTGGGGGGGGTGAAGAGGAGAAGGAACCTTGTGTCACTCAGATAAATCTCTGTCTTGCTGCTGCATCCACCCCTTGCCCTGTTTTCATTCCCAAAAGCCTGTCTTTCAACTGGAAATATTTTGTGCTGCCTCCGCCTTAGTGTTGTGCTCTCTCCCTGAATCCAAGAGTTCAACGCAGCAAGGAGGTGCCCGTGAAATAGTCTTTGTAGGAAGAAGGAGCATGGTTTGCTCAAATAAATTACTGTTTAGGAGTTTCCTGGGAGTGTATGCTTTCAGCCTTAGCCCTGCGTCCAGTGGCCTTCTACATTAACATCTCAAGGCATTTAATTCAACACATCGCAGATATCGTCGTTGTTGGCTGGTTGTACCACCTGAGACGGGAACAGATGTTCATCCACCAAGTGAGGACGTGCTTCTGCACAAAATTCAGGTGTTATACCAATATAGCATCATGAAGAATATGGCACCTTGTGCCTCTGGTTTAGAGGAGAGCTTTATCTACATCAATTTGTGTGTTTCCACAGGCCATGCAGTAGTTTGTGATCTTTCCTTGCTGCCAAGACTCTGCATGACTTAGAAACAGTAATTTGCAAGGTCTTGGTTTCTCAGGCTGGTCATTTCCTGAAAATCTTCTGTTTTTAGCAATGGATCAATTAGCTGTGTTGCATTAAATAACGTATCGCTGACTTACCCCAACGTTTCCTGATTCTCGGCTTGTTGGAATCTCCTGTTATCTCTGCGTTAGCTGCAGTTACCCATTACGCCGGGCTGTGGAACGTCTGTCTCCCTTTGCACGGTCCTGGGGTAGATGAGCTCCTCCAAACCCCGCCGTGCGGCTTTGAGAAAGCATTACCATCAGCGGGCTTTGTCGCTGGTAATGGAGCTGAGTAATCTGAAAGGAAAAATGTACCTGCTTCTGTGACACTTGTGTGCAAAATACGGCCTCTCAGGTTAAATTGCTTTTGATGGCGGAGGCTTGAAATGACGGGGTTCTTACTGAAATGCTTGCAGCGCTGGCTCACGGCTCTCTCTGTAAAATGAGGTGCCGGAGCGCAGGGGAAATCCTTTTGATGTTGCTGCAGCAGGATTGCTCCCGATGCTGCTCCGTGTCCTTGTGCAGGGTACGGACGGTGCGACTCTGAAGTGGTCCCACGCGGGGCCTTTGATCGTCGTCCAGGCTGTTGGCTGTGTCGTGAGCTTGAGCTAATGCAGTGTTCAGAGCTGCTGGGACTTGGTCACTGGATTTTTGGTATCAGGGTTAGTCACTAGATAGACATGGAAAAGGGGTGCCTCTTCTGGCTTTTGCAGTACAGGGGTTTTTTTTCTCTTTCCAGTTTCTGTTTGGCAGGAATAATGTCTCAACCCTCTCCTTGTGCTAACGCTATAATGTTTCTATGATTTCAAGAACCAGACAATACTGTTCCACTCTTGCTTTCCACTGTTGTTTCCACTCAGGTGCTGGTTATAGATCTTTCTGCAGCCTGAATTATTATCTATGGGCTTGCTAGTGCAAATATTCTGTGTGATTAGGATCTGAAATTCTCAGTGGCTTGCACTCTTACATTGACCCCAAAAGACAAACAGCATCTCTAGAAGATGCTCTGCTTTTATTACATTGGAATATGTCAGAATAAAGTGTAAAGAATCCCATAAATTCATTTTTGAGTGGCTATATTCTTAATGGAGGAAAAATCTCATGTTGTGCTTGCTGCACAACTTCAACTGCGTGGGTCTTACCGGCAGTGCATCCCGTAAAATACTCTGTGTGGGAAAGTGAAACTTTTTCAGCAGGAACTGACGGTGCTTTATCTAAGGGTTTCCTTGCAGAAGCTGTAGAAAATTTCATTCATATTTAATAAGTTAAGCAGCAAACCCCCGAGAATACATACCCAAATGTTTACTTTCTGAATTTTGTCTTAGGCCTCCTAACGATCTAAATAACTTTTTTATTATCATTTGCAGTTTGACAAAAGAAAATACTCAAAGCATAACCTTTTCCATTTAAACAGAACAGGCTTCACATCCAAACTGCTGAGTTGCAGGAACAAAATGCAAGGTAAAGCTTTTCTTCAGTCCTCAGGTATTCGGTAAACCCCAAGACTCTGGCCGTCCAATGCGTGCTTCCTGGCATGCCTGGGTACGTTTTTTCCAAGCCTTACTGGATTAATTTAACCTGACAAATCAAACAGCCTGAGAGGATAAAACTACCAGAAATAAACCTCTGCATCGTTTTAAGTGACGGTTGTGCCACGGTGGGTAATGGGGCCTGAGAGGATAAAACTACCAGAAATAAAACTCTGCATCGTTTTAAGTGATGGTTGTGCCACGGTGGGTAATGGCGTGACACTGGGTGGGGGGAGCCTCGAGGAAAATGTGGCTTTTGGTTCTTAATATTGTCTCCAGAAAAATCTTCCCTTCTGTTTGCGGGGCTGGGGTTTAGTTCATCGGTGCTCCAGAAGGTAAGCTGTGCCCCCAGGTTTTGAGAAGCTGCTTACTAAACATGTTAAACCCTTCCCCAAAGCTGCTTCAGAAGGAAAATAGTCAACCTGATGCTGTGAAATCAAACCAGAATTCCTCTTTTTTTTTTTTTTTATATGTTCCCTGTCAGTGCTCTGAAGAATTGAGTTGTGCTTACTTAGTGGAGTTTAATGCAATTATAAGGGGGAACTATCTCTTGCCATAGACTTGTCAGCTGAAAAATGTGAGTCCTCTGGGAAGCAGGTAGCTCTGCTCCGTGTGGAAATGGTTCTGGCGATCAAACAAGCGTTGTCATTTCAGCTGACAGTCCTGGGTGCAGACACAGAGGTGCAGAAGGAGGTGGGTAGAACAACTCTTTCCTGAAGTAGAGCAGGATTTTCTCACTTAACCTAAAATAGGTGAAGAACAGCGTGACCTGCCCTGAGGAGGCTGTTGGCCTCTTTTTTGTTTGGTGGTTTTATTGCTGCTTTTTTGGTCTGAACTGTACGATAAATCCAGAGGGAGAACACTTTGCTCTCTCTGTTTTATGGGATCTGAGTGGTTGTAACGCTCATTTTCCCGTGCAGAAATGCAGCACGGGGTGCTTGTGGGGTCTTTCATGAAACATTGCACATTCAGGAATATTTGTGTTCACATTTCTCAGCATTTATTTTGTCAATAGCAAATGAACTTTTGGATTTTTTTTTTTTTATTTGCATGTGTTTTTGTGTAAAGCTTGGTCTGAAAAAGCTTCTGTATGAGACACGACTAAAGAGAGTGAATCTCCGCTGCCTGGAAAAGATGGGTCTGTAGCTGTAGTATGTTTCTATATCTTTTACACGTGAGGGATTTTCAGAAATCAATGGGATAGTTATTAAAATATCTGTCGATTTGTATTAGTTTTGTTGGGGAAAGGAGTCTTTTAGGAATTGGAGATGTCTGGGTGAGAGTGAGTAACTGGAGCAGAAAGACTTGATGTGTCTCGCTGCAGGAGCGTCAAAAGTTATTGCTGGAGAGAGCAGGAGGGAATTGAAGCGCAAGTAGACATTCCTTGAAATCTTAAAACCATCCTTATGATCGCTTTATGTTCAAACACTGGATTCTGCAGTGAGGAAGGTGCAATTTTATGCATACATGCACAGTTTCAAAGACTTGGAAGTTTTCTTCTTCTGCTGTTACACTTAATTCTAGGAAATTACACTGTGGAGTAATTCAGTAGTTTGAAACTTAAGTTGAAGAATCTTATGGCCTTGCTAAAAAGATCAAAAGAAGTTTCTGCTTTCAGAAATGTCCTCTCTGCTTTTTTTAATCACCTCGCAGACTCTTCCAGAAATTGCACAGGTGCAGGTCCTTCTGTTCATCATCACAGAGCTTACCTTCCTACCCCTGGATCCTTTGTATGCAAGAATTAAAAACTGTTTATCTTTTATATATACACTATACTGATTTTTTTTTTCCCCCCTCAGAAAAGTTTTAACTGTGTTGCTAAATAGTAAAAATGTTAAACTGTAGGGTGCTTTTTTTTGTTGGGATTTTTTATTTTAAAAATGCAAACGTGGGGTATGTAAGTAAAACTCTTGAGTTGCGTTTCAGTCCGGCTGCTGTACCTTTTGGCCTTTCTTTAGAGAGATCTACTCATGAAAGATTGTTAAGGTGGTACTTTACACCAGATCAGTTGTAAATAATCCAAGACTAAGATGATTAAATCTGTCCGTACATAGGGTTAATCCTACATGTATATGCAAAACAAAGCTAAGTGTATTAGAACTGACAAAACTTCAGGCTGTAGGAGAACTTACCTAACATTGCAATTAAAAAAGAAAAAAAGGCATCATCCAGTCACACTTCCTAACTGTCTGAAGATCAGCTTGAATATCAAGTTAGAAACCACCTTCTCAGCCTTGCTGTGTTTGTCATGAGGTGTTTTTGGGGGGGAGAGGCAGGCGGACAGGCGATGGTGAGGATACCAGCAGCTGAACTTCTAGTGGCATTGCAGCAGCCCAGGCTTGCCCCGTGCCTTGCAGAGGCTGTGTGCTTTCTCTGTGGAGCCCTCTTTGAGTGAATTTTACTAGTATGATAGTAAATTGTATTTCTGAGTCATAGTATACCATTTAAACTTTAATTTTTTGCCCTGTTTTTAATTCAGATAATTTTTCCATTGCTTACTGTTAGGCATTCTTCAGTAAATGCTGCTTTGGTGGCTGTATGCTTTGAGTTAATGAGCTTTTTTTTTTTTTTACTGTCTCCTTTCAATCCTTGCAAAGGCTCTATGTGTCCCCGAGAAAATGTACTACAGATCAGAAAACGAACTCGCCTTTAAAATGGTGCCGGCAGGTGTTGGATAATCCCAGTCCTGAGACAGAAGCAGCCTGCCGAACTCTTCTAAACAGACTCGATCAAGGTATGTAAGCTGTAAGCATTGTCTCAAGTGTCTTTTTTTCCCACTTGTGCACTTTCCATGGCTGAGAAGCAGCAACACAAAGGAGACATGGAGTTTGCGGCTGCGGTAGTGGAGAATATCCGCAGAGGCAGCACTTCAGGTGTGCTCTTGGTGCCTGTTTGCACAGCCATGATTATTATTGTATGGAAACCTCCCCGCTGCTGGTTTGCACTGGTAATGGCTGGTGGAGGTGAGAGATCATTCTGTGAACATTAAGACAACTCTGCTGATTACAAGTAAGAGACAAAACAAACTGCAGTGGGATGTTTTCCCTCTGTGTATCTTTTAAAATACAAATACAGGCTTGTAAAATTAACTGACAAATTGACCACCTTGCTGCCTGTTTTTTTGTATTTTCAGAGCCTAAACACTGAAATATATTTTGGTGTTTCCAGGCTCTTGATTTTCTTTTTTTAAAATATTTAAACATCTTTAATGTAAAGATATGTGGAGGAAAAATGTGCTTCTGGGGATTGGGGAGAGAATAATATGAAACTATTATTGCGGCTTTTTTTCTATATAAAAAGTTACAGTGTTGTCAAGTGTTTCTGATGTTGATTATTCTTACTGTATCCTAGCATTAGTGTTATTACGTGGGTAAAATAGTTGTCTGAAGCTCAAAGCTTACAATAATGAAACATTAAAATCTGTAACTTGAAGAAATGGTGTCACCTGGAAACCTAGTTCTTCTTCCAGTTTTATCATCCCCTGAAAGCACTTCATGGTGGCCTTCAGCTGTCTTAACCACCGAGGGAAAACCCCTTTCTTCCTCTGCCTGACATGAAAACACTACAGAGCGTTCTGTTCAGGAGTCGTGTACCACCACCGCAGTCAGTATTCCGGGGTCATAGGTTTGTGGTTTTCCTTCTCCTTTCTCACAGCCCAGAAGGATCAATCTCATCTTCGCCTTTCCCTGATGGCAGAGCTGTTAGAACAGATTTACAGCAGTTTACAGCACTGCAGAACTGAGGAGGTTATTCCGTCTCTAGGTATCTGTAGTGTAGGACCTGGAATCCATCTGCTGGATGTCCTCCCTGTGTCTTTTCAAACACGCTCAGGGTTTGTGTGTAAAACAGCGAGTCCTGGGCTGCACTGATGATAGCCCAGACGCCGAGGGGTTTGCGGTGAATGAGCAATCCTTTTCTGTATCCTGCAGCTCTCTAGATCATAAAGCTTTCCTGCACAGGCAGCTGTGATGTACCCTGCCGCTGGAGGGTGAATGGTTTTATTATTTTCTTCTAACAACTCATCACCAAAAAGCATTGGAGAGCAGGAGGCGTTGCAGCCTCGGTGATCTGGTGGGACTCGTGAACACCCGAACGCAAAGCTGCGGTTAGCAGTGTTGGGAAAAGTGATGTTCAAGGGAATTCCTGTTTTGAGGTTTTCAGTTAGCTGCTGAAAACACAACCCCCAGTCTGGTGCAGAGTTGTTGTCTGTCTGGGTTTCGCGTTGGCTGGCTTTGTCTTCTGTGTGAAGGCAATCATCCTGATTTCAGTTCACCTCCTGAGGTCTGAGGCCACTCTCTCCTTGCAGTTTGCGTACTAACGGTGTCTTGGCACTGCTTGTAATCGGGTTTGAGTTTAGCCTTGAAATTCCTGATTTGAGATAATGGAATGTAGTTTGGGAAAAAAAACCTTAATTTACTTTTATAAATAATCTGTGTTTAAAAATTTGAGTGAAGAGTCATTTGATTAACCATTTGCTTTCTGTCTGAAATGGATCAGGCTTTATTTGTCCTTTATCACTCCTTTTTAACTAAAATAGTCTGACCTTATATTTGTGGGGGAAATAAAGAACTATGGATATGGTAAATCTTCATTATTTTCTTAGTTATTGTTCTCTCAATGGTAAAGGTTCGGGGGGCAGTTCAGCAGCCCCTTGAATACACACAGATTGACAGAGTGAGTCATTTCCTCGCTGTTGTAGCTGCTGATTCCCAACTCCAGTAAGCGTGGATGCCCCAAGTTTTGCTACCTGGCTTCTTCCTGACTGTATCACTAACGCATGTGCAAGCCTGCATGCTGAATAAACATTTCAGAATGTTTGGTTTTTGTATTAATTTGCTCTCCTTTGAATCTAAAGGCATAGCTTTTGTGGATTAATGCTGTTTTGATTCCATCATTAAAAATTCACAATAACACATGCGTAAATGTAAAGCTCAATAGTGTTATTTAAAATTAAGATGGGGTGTGGAAGTGACATATATTTATGAAAACAGTCATCTTTGAAGACCAGCACTGAAACTTTCAGAAATGCCTGACTTCTTTAAAGCCAAGTTTGTCTGTACTTAGTCTTGGAATTCTTCAGAAGTGACAGAACAAGTTGCAGGGGAGAGCGAGGAAGGGAACAGGTGCTGCTTCACTTTTGACACCTTGTAACTGACACCATCAAGATGTCTTATTTGAAGTACATCCGTGACAATATTTCATCTTGTTTGATCTGATGCCTTGCTTTATCTTATGCTCTTTGTTTTTAAAAAATAATTTGATAACCTTTCTGGCTTTTTTTGTATTTTTCCTTCTAGCCAGTAGATGGAAAAACCTGTATTGCAGTCCGCTGGCATCACCAAGCATGCATAATCTGAATACAGAGACAGGCTGCTGTAGCAATGCTCTAAACTCTCCCGGGCATCTCAAATCGACTAACAAAGCACTACTAACCTGTGGCAGCTCAGGTATGGCGTGTCGGTAGAGCAGTGCAAACCTGTAGTGTTTGAAATGCAAGGAGTATTGCTAATAAACACAGGGAAAATTTGCCAAGAGATGGATTTCCACCCGTGGGGTTTTCTCCTTGTAATTTGCTCACTCACTGACCCAGGTTTCACCTATTACGTGGGAGAAAAGTCTTTGCATTCTAAGTGTCTTGTAGTTATTGCATGGTTTTGTTCTTATAACTTTCTCTATATATATAATTTATAAATTGTACTAATTTTAAGTGACTTAAAATAGAAAACAGTTGTTGGGGCAAATAAAATATTGCTCTTGAATAATGTTAGAGTGTGTAGGTGTTAATGAAGTGACTTGGATTCAGATTTCTGGCTTGAGTGTTTGTGAAGTTTCTTTTGACAATATTGATGGATGTAGGCAGCAGAAGGAAGCCTTGTGCTTTAAGATAAGAGGTGTCGTCTCCAGGATATGCCTTCAGTTGTCCAAATGGGCAGCTAAACTCAAAATAACAAAAGCTTTCCATCAGACTTGATTGTGTTTGGAGTAAGACTTCCTACTGTAAGAGTAGGAAAAAAATTACACAGAATTTGTGTTAGAATCCTGTATTTGTAGATACAACAGCGAAGCTTCTCCTAAATGCAAAGGCAGACTTGAGGCTGAGCCATTTCAGCTGCTGCCTGATGAGTCCACATTGGCTCTTCCAGGAGCCTCGTTTATCCTCAGTTTCCTAGTGCAAACACTTTGCCTCTTGGCTTCATTCTCAAAGGATTCTTCCTTAATTTGTTTGGGGTTTTTTTGTGGAAATTGCTGTATCCTAATTTGCATGTTTAAAAACAGAAAGCATGGTTAACAATTTCTGGCTTGAGACATGATGTTAAATTAACCTTTTTTGGAGGAAAAAAAAGGTCACGTACGGGTGTTTTCCCAGCTGCAGGTATGCTTTTGAGATCTGCTGGCTTGCTGCTGTGAGTAGAAATGAACACTTAGCCCTCTGGCAAGCAAAAGGAGGCATGTACAATGGATTATTTCTGCAAGCTGAGGTCTGCAGGGAAAAATCTGTAAATCGAGTTCTTGTTTTTAGGTGAGGTTGGTCAGCAATCTGGATGTGTAACCACCTTTTTACGCAGAGACCGTGCAGACCCAACGTGTCTGTGCAACTTCCAGACTTCGTGCACTCTGCAAATCTGCTGACATTGCCAAGGGTAGCACATAAAAAGCCAAATATTGAACAGGCTTTGTCTGTGTGGGATTACACATGAGAGCTCATCTGTTTGGTGGCTCTTCCTTGTGACTTGTTCAGGTGCTAACATGACTTTGAAGTTCCCTGGCAACTCGATTGACTCAAATGTTTCTAAGAAAAACGGAGCTTCCCTACCATTCAAATGAAAAACATTTAACAGTAACTTCCCTTCAAACTAAACAGAAAACCTTTTACAAAATCCAGATGTGGTGTGTTTTGAAGTCTCTATAATGAAAACCATAATCAGGTCATCTTGCGGTGTTGAGCCACAACAGTTTTTACTGATGAAGGAAGGTGAATGCAAGAAATTGGGTTTACACCTGCACTTCCCACGTGTGTTTTCTGTGTTATCGGTTACTCCTCTTCGAAACTGGTTGAAGAAATAACGTTGGGAGCCTGCTGCTTTTTCTTGTCCGGCTGGAATGACCCATTGTTTAAAGCGTTGCTCAGCAATGGTTTTTAGGTGATTTGTGGAGAACAGACAAAATGTTTTGTTTGTAGTGTCATCCTTGAGAATTATTCAGTGGGTGCGCTGCCTTCAAGACTTCTTGGAACACAGCAGGCAGAACTGCATGAGCTAAAGTAAAAGTCAGTGGTGAACGACATCATACAGATGCTTTGGGACATAGCCTTGATTTTTGTTGGCTGCTGTGCTGCAGCCTGCTTGTTGCTGTTTATTTAAGCGATGATCTCGAATCCCTGCTTGAGCAGGATTTGTATTTCTTAAGCCTGCTCTGGCTGAAAGTCGTGTTAAGTGCTCTTAGGCTCTTGCCTCTCTCCTGGCTTTATGTGATCTTGTCACATCATGGGTTTTAATTTTTTTTTTTTTTTTGTGGGTCTAAATCTATATAGTACTAATTGCAACCTTATCTTGGAATTGATTTAAGGTAATGATGTACTCTCTCTTAAAATAGCTCTGTAGGTTCTATGGTCTATGATTATGATGGTATTTTTATTGTTGTTCTTTAAAAGGAAAATTATTTCTTCCTCTTCCCTAATGCCTGACCTATGGAAAAACTTCCCTGGTGGAAAGATCCTTCCACTTTGGTTTGTGTGACCTGCTGTGTGAACAAGCTGTGTCCTTCCCTGTAGGAGAGAGTTTGGCTTATGATGAGAGGAAAAAAAAAAAGGGACAAACCTCAGGTTTGAGGAGGAGGCAATTGAGCATAAACTCTATAGTATGACTGATTTTTTGAGGTACTGTACTCTGAAAGCCATTTGGATCCTTCAATTCCTGTAGCTCCTCACCAAAGCCCTAGCCAGCACTTTGTATGGATTTGCTGCTTAATATCTAGCTCAATAGTTGCCCCTTTCTCAAAACAGGCAGAAATAATACTGATCTTTTAAAGGCTGTTTCTAAGTTCAAAATTACCAAGCATCGCTTTGCCACCTTCTGGACAGATGTCCAGGAATTTGTCCCACACAAAGACACTCTGCCTCCTGGGAATTGCAGGTTAAAATACTGAGCTTTTTGTTCTCAAGTTATTTCCAACTTCTTCATTATTCTAGCAACCATACCGCAGCTTCCCAACTGCCCTGATGGTATTACTGGAATAAATACTCTGCTGCTCATTCTTGTTTTGTATGTGGGTGTCTGAAGCTCATTCTGTTCCTCCTCTTTCCTCCTGAAGGTTATTTGAGCATGCATTCTGCGCTGAGCTCTCAGTCGTCTGTGGACAGCGAGCTGAGCACATCTGACGACTCCATCTCTATGGGCTACAAACTGCAGGACTTGACTGATGTCCAGGTTATGGCACGCCTTCAGGAAGAAAGTACGTGACAGCCATCTCCTTTGTGTCATTTGTAATTGTAGAGGGATGCAGATGGATTCCAACTCTTCTTCTCTTCCTCCTTTCTCCCCCCAAAAAAAAGAATTTAGTAGATCGTTTGAGTTATTTGTGGTTTGCAGGGGCTTCCTTTGAAAATCTAGACACCCAAACTGCCACTAAACCTAGCAGTTGGGTGACATTCTCAAAATTACACCTCTTAAAGCAGAGGATAGTCCTGAAAGTATTATCCCAAACCCCACTTTGTCAAATGGGTAAATGTCCTTTAATACTCAAAAATATTCCCCCCCAGATTGTCTCTGAAGTACAGGTGAAGTTCCATGAGTAACTGTTCTGTAGTAGTGGCAGTTTAAACAGCAGCAGCTCACAGTTCCCTGGGAAATACAGAATGAAGTTCTCTGGTTTTCACATTTACTTACTTTTAGTACCGTGCCTTTATAAATGTAAAAAAATACTATGATACAGGAATTGGAATGTGAGACCAAAAAGAGCAAAAGACAGAAGATCCTGTTATCACTTTATCACACCTGAGCGCAGCTGAGGAGAAGTTGTATTCAAGTGACCAAAGCAAATAACAGACTTTTCCTTTCTAAACTTGAATATTCTTCTTAGGCTTTGTGATCACTTAAAAAAAAAAAAAAAAGTCAAGCAAATCCTGTCACATTACAGAGTTTCCAGTGAAATATGAAAAGCACTTCATCCTCAGAATGATGGAAGCTTTTTTGTATTTGCTTTTGTTTATCTTTGTTTCAGCCCGTTGGAATGCTGGTGGGTGTGTAATTAACTGAACTAAACACTTCCCACTGTACCTCAGACCCCTGTACCTAGTTAGCCTAACAAAGCTTGCATAGCAGTATAGGGTCCACAATCACGGCTTCGTGTGCGGGGGACACGAGGAGTAATTCGGGTCGGTTTCAATATTAACTCTTTGCTGTAATTAAGCAGCACTAATAGGGGTGACACTGCTCCAGTCCAGAGACTCCATGGGCTGTGTCCTCAGTAGAGGGAGTTATTCACTTGACTCTCCTTCCAAGGTGAAATGAATCACTGATAAAATCATTGCTTCTGGATTTGCATTGCAACAGGGTAAGGCATTTCTGTTTTCGAGTATGATGACTCCGAGCCCTGTTCCCCTTTGTCTCCAGGCCTCCGGCAGGACTGTGCCTCCAGCTCTGCTTCTGTATCACGCCGCAGTTCCAGCGCCTCCCTTCACTCTCTGCGCAGGGGTACCTACAGCGACCAGGAGTTCGACACGTACAGCCTGGAGGATGAGGATGATTATGACTGTTCTCTGTCATACCGTAGCGCTCACAGATACTCACCCTCTCCGCTCAGTTCACCCCGCTGCCAGTCTCCTTCCAGCGCAGATTACGGCAGGTCCTCCACTTCCCGTATCCGTCCCCCAAGGAGATCTGTGCAAAGTCCGATGCAAGACCGTCTGAAATACGCCAACAGTGAAGGTGAGCTAGCTGTGAGCTTTTCATGTACGAGTCAATGAAAATAATTGTGACATACACATTTCAAAAGTGCTGTTAGTTAATGGAAGCTAAGAACTGGTTACACACTTGGCCGCTTTTAAGTGCGTATGTTTTTCAAGGGATAGCCTAAACCATTACACATCTCTGGAAGCAGCAAGTAGAGAATTTGCTCTTGATTTCAGAGGAGATGCGCCACAGCATGCCCAACCTGGCCAGGACAAGCCTTCGAGCTTTGGATTCTGTAAGGAGCAGTCGGAGTTTGGAGTCAGATCTGCAGGTGCCAAGCAGTCGGATCCCGAGAACGCAGCAGCGGTCAGCAGGTCGGTGCCGTGTCTCCTGTACATGCTGCTGGAGTTTTATTTCCTTCTGTCTGTTTAACCAACCTGACTAAACCCGAGGCCCTTTTGGCCTGGTATTCTGAAAAGTTCTTAAAATAGTTGCCAACTGGGTTATTCTGTATTTTCTTCTTCCACGTCTAGGTCTGGCTCCCAGCAAGCTCAGGTATTCCTCCGGTGCTGGGCAGTCTCCCCTAACAGTGCGACAGCCGCTGAAGGCAGGGTCATGCACAAACTCTCTGTTAACGCCCAGGCAGCCGGTAAAAGCCTGCAGTTACACCAGTCCTGTTAGCACCGTTCGAAAACCACAGGCATCTTCGCTTAGCACAGCCTCTTCCAGTAGCAGCTGCGGTACCAGGAGCAGTAACATGGTCACCGTGGCAAGAAACTCGCCCGTTAAAGCACGCACGTCTGGTGGCGGCATCTCGGTGCCCAAGAGCAAGCCGGCTCCACCCTCCAGGAGGTAAGGGTGAGACTTCAGGCCTCGCCGCCTTGAGTGTCTGCCATTATTTCAGATTAGAAATGCTTCTTTATAAAGTGACGTTCATCTCTGATTTTAAAGTGTGACGGGGGGACGGAGTTGGGATGTACATGGGATGGGCGAGCTCTGCACGAGCGGCAGGCAGATGTTGACATTGGCAAAAGACAGATGTTGCAGGCGCCCAGTGTGAACTGAACCCTCAGACAAGCATTCCTGGGCCTGGCAACAGATTACTGGGGTCTGTGCTTCTTGTAACTGCTGGTGACCTTTTTTTTTTTCGGTTGTGTCTCAAAGCAGATTTCTTCAGTCAGCACAGACCACTCAGGCCCCCGAGGATGATTCCTGGAAGGATGGGTGTTACTGACACCCCACAACGCAGCTGCACAGCCAAACCCCCCCCGTGAAGCAGACCCCAGCTGGCTGGGCATAAGGACGTTATTTGAAAATGAATCTTGAGAGCCCCATCACCTCGCAGCCTGGTGTAAATAGTTCCTCTCCTCACCTGCTGCTGCTCCACGACAAGCCTGACCCATTCCTGGTGGAACAGACAACGGCTTTCCTGCCTTTCCACTCTTCAAAACGTCACTGAAACACCAGTCTTCACCTGGAGACTGAAAATAGCCTTATTTCATATCAACCTCTACGTGCAGCCTTTTTGGAAGGTTTCTCACAAAAAACTTCTTCTGTGACCTGCTCTGGACACTTGCGGCAGGAGGCTGCGGGTTGGAGCTGCTGCTCTGGGGTGGGCGTAGCAGCGGCGCAGGGAGACTAGAACTAGTTCCGTAGATGGTAGCAGTAAGACTTTTTAAATTCAACCTGCTGTACTCTAATATTTGTCTGAAACGCAGCTGTTGGGGTTTTGTTGTTTGGTTTTTGTTTTTTTTTTTTACTTCTGAATAGAATGTATTTCTGCTATTTTTATTGTTTGTTCTAGAAGATGAAGCAGGTTTTTATAACGGTAGTACACTTCAAGCTGTTGTATTCGAGTGCGTGCGTCACAGTTCACAAGTGAAGGAGCGGTACACAATATTTGTGTGGGTTTGGGAACAGGCAGGGACAGGGGATGCTCTTTCAAAACTGCCGTTCAGCAGCATCTTCCTACCTCACGTGAGGAAGGTAACGAGCACCGGTTACAAGTAAACTTTTTAAAAACAACCCTTCCTGCCTGACTTGCCATGTTTCCCTTTGGTCTTTCAGCTCACCCCCCACTGCCCTGATTTTTGTAGGAGTTTTCTACTGTCTCTTTGGCTATGAAGGATTTGTTTTCCATGACCTGTCCCTCAGCAAGCGCTGGATGCTCTGGATACAGTCTTAGTACAGAAAATACGCACTGATAGCAATGTCCTCCCTGCCATCAATGTGATTTTTGATAGTGTAGTTTAATAAAATGTTATGGTGCTGAAACAGATCTGCTTTATTCCAACAGCCAGCCTGACTTTTGAGTGTGTTTTGGGCCAGGAACGAGGCTTTTCAGGACAGGCCCAGCCCCGCAGAAGTCTGCTGCTGCGCTGCAGCTCTTAAAGCTCTGCAAAGGTAAAGAGGTTTCCAGAGGAAGCCCCTTCTGGTGTTGGTATTTACCTGGAATCTCCTTGGATTTCATGGGAATGAGGTGGGAAAAGTTAATTCACAGCACTTGGGTCCTGCCTGTTCCAGGAGAACAGGAACAGGAAACCCCCCTTGCAACAGGGTGAAGCCCTGGGGGATGCTTCAGAGCAGAGTTCACTTTTTGCATAATTTGCTTTAGAAATTTAAAAAAAAAAAAGAAGAGGAAGAGACAGTTGGTATCAAATGGCAGTTCCAGACTAGCTCAGGTGTGTTCCGGTCTCATGCTGAAGGATGGAGCCAGCACAGGCCTGGAGCTGCCAGGAGCTGCCTCTCCTCAGCGCCTTGAGCAGTGGCACATAAGCAGCTTTCAGCAGCAGGGGGTGAGCCTGGAGGGCGAGGGGGGTTTGTCACCTCTCAAGAAATGCAGCTGTGAGCTAACACCTAAAAAGCAGCAAGGATTTCTTTCTCACGCTGCAGTATCAGTGTTTGTTAGTTTACAATAAGCTGCTTCAGCGGGGGCTGTGCACTGTTATTTTCCTGGAGCTGGAATAACCCTCTTCTGCCTCAGAGCAGCTTTGGAAATCTCGGAGCCACACTCTGTCGAAAGGGGAAAAAGGAAGGGTGTCGTTACCAGCACTGTTACAGTCTGGGGAAGAGGCAGATGAGGCAGAACTGGAGCCGTTGCTCATTCTCTGATGACAAACCTCTCCCTTCCCCACCTCAGAAGGGCAGAGACACCTGATTTTACACCAAGAGGCTTCTCGCCAGAGGCTTCTCGCCATCCCGATAACCCCCTGCTGGCGAGGGCCAGCCTGCGGCTTTTGGGCCCTAGGTCAGGAACGTGAAGCACAAACCCCAGCGCTGCAGGAACTATCACACTAATGAGATATTAATTCAAGTTTTATCCTTTCATGTTTCTAAGCTGTTCTCACACCAAGTGATCCTCCTTCAGATTTGTATACTCTCTATCATCCTGAGCAGACATCATTAAACTGCAGCTTTGCCTTAAACCAAGATAACGATCAGCTGAACTCAGCTTCTGCGAGTTTAAGAAGAAATCCAACTGTTGCATGAGCCTGCCTCTAACCCCCAGCGCTGCCTCAGCATTTAACGTTCCAGAGGCTCCAGCGCAAGAGCCTGAGCAGAACATCGTCTAGAGAACGGAGCAGTACACACACCCCCAGCTACTCCCTGGTTTCACCAAGTAGTTCCTACCACCAGCCTACACCTAGTGCCAGACTCGCCTCTCACAAAGCTAAGAAAAACTGCTTTCTGTACAGTAATTTTATTGAAATCAAGTTAATGTTGTTTTTACACTAATGCCTCAGTGCATCCTTTAAAAGGAAATATTTTCTTTAAAAAGTATTTGTACATGAGACAACAAATCATAGAAATGAACATGGTAACATCACCAATCCCTAAAACATGCACGGTCCTACACTGACGGGGGGGCTGTAAGAGCAGGAGGAAGGAAATCTTTCTAAGCTGTACATTTGATGAACAGGAACAGCCGCCAGTGACCACAGTGCTCGGGGGAACCACTGACCCTTCCTGGGCATCAACACCTGACTACCCCCAGTGAAATTTCAGCCTCCACGAAGACAAACCCGAAGACGCACACAGGTTTGTAGACAACCCTTTATCTGGCACCTGCTGGGAGCCCCAAGCTCAGTGTAACACACCCCAAAAAAAGCCGGTGGAGGAGCAGCAGCTTCGTGGCGTTGCCCTGCCTGTGTCGCAGGGAACGTGCTGAGTTCAGTCCCCAAACTCAGCCTCCCCAGACCTCGACAGCTTCCCCCCACCCTTGGGAGCTTCCTTTGTAGACCGTGATGCTTTGAGATTTCAGTTGTTTCCATTTCTTCTCTTGGAAATGAGCCTGTAAGAGCCAAACCCCTCACCCCAGGCACCCACAGCTTTGGCTCCACTCCTCCAGGACAGGGCGGATGACTCAGCCTTCACGGCTTCCCCCAGCCCACCAGGCAGCCCCTGTCCCCCGACAGCAGCACCTCCCTGCACCTTGGATCCTACATTTAGTTATCAGCCTTGGGTTTGGTTTGGGGTTTTTTTTATTTTCAGAAGAGTCCATATTACTCCATCCTCTGACAGAGCCTTTCTTCTCCAGACCATAGAGAAAGCAACCGTCCGTAACTCCACCCTTCCATCCCTCCTCCGTGCCCAGCTCCTGGCACACACCCGCAGAGCAGACGCGAAAGCAGCCGGTACCCGACGCCTGGTCAAGTCACATCAAGCGATTGGCCCCAATGTCACCTTAGCAAGCGGCACCGTTAGGATTCGCTTTAGTCCATGCTCAGAAGAGCAGGAGAAATACTGTGAGAGCAAGCAGATACACCCCTGCAACCTGAACTGTACGCAACCTTCTCCTTGACTGTATGCATTTAGCCATAAATTAAGGGGGGGGGAGACGAGGAAGAAGTGAGGATGAAGAGGCAGCTGAGGCGACCCAACACCCTCTCCTACCCCTGCAGAAAGACCTCCAGGAAACAGGAGGTTTCACACAGAAGCACTGACATCTCACGGTGCAACGCCCCAGCCCAAAGGCCATTTTTTTACTGCCACTGGCACCCTCTATGTGTTGAAACACGACAGAACCGTGAGGCCAGACGCATGGGGGAGGCACCTGGAGCTCCAATAATTGTAGAAAGTAGAAATTCACGTACACCCATCTTGTCCCTGCCCCGTTGGTTTGGCTCAGCCCGCCCTGAACCATCCTCCTGTGCAGGACAGTTCCAGCAGCGCTGCTCTCCGCTTGCACGCTCACATCAAAGTGCAAAGCTACATGGACACACGGACGAGCATGCACACAACCCTCCGGAGCTGGACGTACCACCCACCCCGCGGGAAAGGTTGGAGTTGGGACAGAAAAAGAAACTAAAAAAAAAAAAATTCCTTCAAGTAATTGAAACCAGCCCATTCTGGAGGTTAGAGCTGCACAGAAGCAGAGACCAGCTGGGCCTGCTTGGGGTGATAAGGCAAAAAAGTCCAAAGTCCTGGAGGGATGGAAGAATGAGAAGGTGTCAGTAGTGAAAGATTAAGAGTTATTCTGCAGGTCGCTTCTTCCCACTCCCGGGATGCTCATCTCCGAGTGACCAGCACCAGCTGCCTCCTGTCACTTCCGCACGCAGCTCGGCCAGGCCAGCCCGCCGCAGGCAGCCGACACGATGATATAGATGATGACCTGGAGAAAGGAAACAGCCGCGTCAGCAGGGAATTACCCTTCCCATCGCTCGATCACGGACTTGGCCTGGCAATCAGACACGAGCTTGGAAACCCCGGTTATCGGAACCCTGAACAGCTCCAGTGCCCCGCAGGACTCTGTGCCGTGCCTCTGCCTCCTCCCCCCGGTGCTGCAGGTCTGCCAACTGTCCTCCAGCAAAAGGCCAGCGAGGGTTCAGTGGTGACAAACTCCTTCCCACATCTGCCCTGCGATTCCACTGCAGCATCCTCATGTTAGCACTGTTCGCTTTTATCACCATCACATGAAAAAGAGCTACTTCAGAGTTACGTAACGAGATACCAACAGGACTAAGGCCTAAAAAACTTACAGACAGAGCAGCCATGAGCTCAACGCCTTCGCTCCTAACACAGCTAGCAAGGCAGTGCTCTACGGCCAGCAGAGGCCAGGCAGACCTGTCTGGAAGTCCTTCCCCATTGCCTGCACAAGAAAAGCTGCCTGGCACGATGCTCCTTTCTCCTCGCCCCGCACAAAACCACCCAAACCCTTGTGTCACAGCCGAGCCCCTCCCAGGCGCGCAGCTGACAACACGCGGGTCTGAAGGCAGGAACGTGCTGTCGGCATTTTCCAGGGGTGAAGCCTGACTTACGAGCTCAAGGTTCTCCTGCTCCGTACTTACAATCGATACAATGATGATGACGATGGTGAGCTTGAGGTTCTTCATACACATGGCTCTAGCCAGGTTCCTGCTGGTAGTTTTGAAAGTGACTGACTGCAAGAGAAAGTAACACAACGGATTAACTCCTGACCCTGCTGCCCAGGAAGCTGCACCCCAAGAAGCAAGAGGAAAAGGCTCTTCCCAGGCACAGCCTCCCGAAGAACCCAAACCTCTGCTGTTATCTCCTCCAGAGCCACGTGACTCCCGCAGTTACACCACTGCAGAACTGAAGGGGCACCGAGAGAAAACCCTCCCCTAAGAAAAGTGTCAGAACATCCAGAACCAGCGGGGGGTCGGGCCTTCCCAGGCTCAGCTCAGGAGAATGAAACACAGAACATGGGGTGTGGAGGCTGCCAACAAGGGTTCATTTACCGAAGGGTTCTCCTGGTTGGGTTCTCATTTGACTTCTAACCTTTTGGGCACTGAAGAGCTCCAAAATATTTACGGAACGGCCGATCTAATCCCCAACACAGTACATACAAGGTCATTACTGTAAATACTCCTGCCCAAATGAGCCCCAGGGGCCACACAAGTCCTTTATTGCCCCAACCTTCCTCCAGTACTTGGGTTTGCTGCATTTTATGGAAAGCCTGTGGTTGCCCGGCTCCGACTCTGCTCTCTGTATCCTGCAATTCCACCCACGCCAAACAGGTTTTGGTCACCAACCAGCCTCAAACACCCACCCGGCTGTTGTTAGTGCAGTATTTTCACACACATTCCCTGAACAGGTCACACAAGGATGGGTCTCCCAAGAAAAAGGCTGCGGCACCGGGAACAAGCCAACACAGCAGCACACTCTGCTGGTTATTTCCAGGTTGTCCCCACAAACCAGCTTCCAGCTCCAGTCCAGGCTCACCCAGGAGCGATAAAACACAGTCCACTACTCTGAAGTTTGGGAGCTTCAGCCCTGGATCTCCCAGGACACTCCCCACTGGGCTGTACGACATTCACATCCCATTCCCTCATCTTCTGCAGGGGTTCAGAAAATGCTCCAGAGTCTTTTAGAGACTATCCAGGTGGAACTACTCAGCTTTTTTAAAAATCAGCTGCTAGAGCAACTCTACAGATTAACACATTCCCATTTTATCTGCATCAAGCTGACTTCAGACCAGGCTGCAAGAGAAGCTTTAATTACAATCTTCAGCTTTCCTCTTGCTCCAGACAACGAGTGGGTTTTCCCTGCCTTGGGCACCAGAGATGAGGACAAGAAACACCAACACCGGCGCTGGCAGCGTGTGCGCTGGTTGTGGCAAACAGGAGGAAGCTGATGACGGTTCTTTAACAGCTGGTCCTCGCGAGCAGAGCAAACCCCACCAGCAGGATACAGAGCAGAGATGCACGGGACACCTTTGTGCTCTAACGGAGCTGCAAAGCTGGGAGGCAGCTGGTGAAAGAACTGTAGGGATGGGGTGGGATAAGACAGGACTTGTGTCTGGCCCAGGGAAGGATTACCTGCAGATTTAGATGCTTCAGTGTCCGTTTAAAAGTGGCTCTAGATGCTGCTCCTCCGCTGCTCCCTGACAAGCACAATTGATGCAGAAACACTATTTCCCCATTTCAATGTTCTTCCCCAGACTTACCGAATCCACAAGATTCTCTGTTTTATCGATCAGCAGCTCCAGCTTCTCTCCTCTTTGTGCCACAAGATCTGGAGAAAGAGACAAAAATCCCAATCCGTCGGTGGACTCCCAGGGCAAAAAGCAGCTTCCAAAACCGCCACCCAGCTGCAAGCCCGGAGCTCCTGGCAGTGGCTTTAGCCATCGAGCAGTTCTCAGCCTCTCAGAGGCTGCCAGGCAGCAGTACTTCAGGAACAGTCCCACCTCACAGGCTATGTTTTGGGACTGACCTGACTCAATTTTGGTCAATTCCAGACGTAATCTGCTATTTTAAGTGGTCAGACTTGTCAAAACCCAGCCACCGAGGCGCATTTTCCTCGCACCAGCTGCAGGAAAGCCTCCGTGACAAACAGACCAAATCCTTCACCCCATCGCAAGCTGTGCGAGCTCGTCTGAAACAGAGCTCCTCCTGCCCACCTGCCACCCTCAACCGAGTCCAACGCACGCGTGGCACTGCGGGAAGGCAGATACCTATGTTTCGAACCATGATTCCTTTAAGTTCGTCGATTTGAGCTTGTGTCTCTGCCACCTGGTCAGTGCCCCTGCTCTCCGAGTGGTATTTCTGTAACAAATAACAGTCAGTGAAAGCAGGGACCCTCAACTTCAGCTCCTGAAGACAAAAAAAGGAAACTCCTGGTCACTACGGAACAGCACAGATAAAAATGTGAATTTTCACATCACCCAAGACATTTACAAGTGGGCAGTAAAGGGGGGAAAAGCGAGAGGCAGTTCGGGATTAGTGGATACTCTGAAGTTCAGTTGAACAGAAATGGAGTAACACGCGTTGCGAGTGAGAAAACACAAGGAGAATTTCCAGGGAGAAGTTTGGCTTGTGAGAGAAATCCCATTTAGCAACAGATCTCACCAGCTGTGCAGCCAAGACACTGGAGAACTCGCTGTTCATCGCGTAGGGAAGGGCTGTCTGGGCTCTGGAGCCATACGTGGTCTGAAACCTCTTCTTGATTTCATTCAGGAAGGTGAAGGCTCTGGATCGTTCAAAGTCCTGGAGGGAAGAGAGCAGAGAACATCCACGGCTGTGTCAAGTCAGGAATAAGGAAGCGTAGGGAGCATGCAGCCAGCTCTGGAAAAACTGTAATTATCCGTTCTAGGCACAGCGTGCTCGTTAAGTGCTGTGGGATTGGACTGGTGGTCCTGGGGGCTGAAGAGCAGCCAGAGCTCAGCCTCAGCTTCCCAGACAGTGGCTGGCAGCAGACTTTTCTGGGGTATCCACAGCTCTACTTCTGTGCCTGGATCCTTTTCCCAGTGAGGGAGTTTTTGCCCTCAACACTTCCAGAACTGAGGAGCATGATGCTATTGCAGTGACACCGAGATTCACTGCCCAGGGCTGCCAAGAGAGAAACTAGGTAAAAACAAGACCCTGACCTCACAGCTAACTGCTCATGGGCGTTTGAGTTCCAGGCTTAGACGTCAAAGCTGTAACTGATGTGACTGAGAACACAAGCAGTAGCTCCAACAGGGGAAAGGCAGCACCTCTGATGAGGAGCCGCTATTCATTTTCTTTGACCTACAGATACCAAAAAAGCCCAAACTTACAGAGAGCCTGTCTGTGCAACAGCTGTAACCAAAATACTTACGTCATCCGTGATGCAGAGGTATATAATCCTGTCCTGGCAGATGTAATGAAACAGATAACTGCAGAGAAGAAAAAAGAGAAAAAAAAAAAAAGTCATTTGGAGCTGCCATAGGACTTGTCTTCTAGAAGACACTCCTGCCTGCAGGGCCTTCGAGAGCTGGAGAAGAGCAAATTCCAGTTACACTGCAGGAAATCACATGGATGCCAGCACATCCCAGTTGAGGAAAGTGTCTCCACTCCCACAAGCTGCACCTATGTGTTAAGAAATCCCCGGCCTCCTGCACTTCGCAGTAGCTCTGCGGGACATTCAGCTGCCAAACGCCTTCAGTTCCACCTTCTTCCAGCCACTTACCTGTAAAAACAAAACCTTGGCGGGACACCCCGGGGTGAGATTTCTGCCTAAGCCCATTCAACGTGCCCACCAACACCCACGTGCTGGCTCACGGGTGACGAGAGCTGCAGGGAACTGGAGCGCCCAGAAGGAGAACGCTTCAGTGACCCTCACTGGTACAGCGACCGGCTTCAAGACAAAAGCACCCACAGCAGAAAGGGAATTGGAACAATAATCAGACTCAACAGGCTTGAACCATGCAGCTGGGTCAACTATTCACGTGAAGATGCCTTCGGTGGTGCTGAGCGAACACAGGCGATAGTTAAATGCAGCCCTCTGGCTCCTGAGAAACAGCGCAAACCAGAAGAGGTGCTGTCCAGGTCAGAAGAGACGAACTGCAGCAGAGGAGCTGCTCTGATGCTCAGCTCAGCACCCAGAGATGCAGAATGGCACCTGCGTGTTGTACCAGCACAATGCAAAGCAGAACCACCACAAACTGCAGGGATCTTCTGCCACATTGGTTAAATCCTCATTAAGGAAACGGGCAGTAACGACAAAAGATCACATGCTTCGCAGGGTGCTTTGCAAGTGCAGATGCGTTAGCTACCGGTCTCTCTGTGCTCCCCTGCAAAGAGCAAACCAATCTCTACCGCAACTCAAGCTTTCATCTATAAAAAAGCACTACAGCACTCCTGAAACTCAGCTCTGTAGTTGTCACTGGCACTCAAGGCAAGGTCAAAATGAAAGAAATCACTGTACCCTTAAAATTACAGTAGAAAAAAAACAATTCAGCATCCAAAGTACTTCAGACCACAGGGCAGGCAGGTTCCTCAGCTCTCCCCAGGGACTTTCAGTGCTCCCAAGGCAGGGAGGGATGCGGGAAGACGACACCAATCCTTCTCTCTTGCCCTCAGGCTGCCTCAACAGCTTTAGCAGGACAGCTTGGGCAGTACTGAGAATCCAGTCACACTGCCAGCTCCAAACAAAAGAGCTGAACTGGGCAAACACTTTTCAGTTTGCTTTCTCCACAATTCCTTCTTTAGTTTGCACACAAACACCGTAAGTCAGCGCAGTCTCAGGCGATGTAACAGCTAATCCTTCCCGTCCATCACCTGCCCGAGGGCTGCTCAGAGATCTGTACCAGCCTGGGAGAAACCCTTCCATCCCACAGACTGGGTTTGGGGTAGCTCAGGATGACTCTACCTTAAAGCAACCAGGATCCACAAGTGATCTGAGAAGGGCGACACTCTCACCTAAAGCCACAGAAAAGCCAGCAAAAAACCCCACAAGCCAAATACCAAAGCCTCCAACTGCTTGGTGTCCGCAGCTGAGCGCCCTCCAGCTCACTTTGGAGTTGTATAAAAATAAAAGTTGATTTTGTATCAACCGTCTGCCTACTTATTGCTAAAGCAAAACTCAAATCCTGGTTATGCTGCAAAGTTCTGGGGGAAAAAAAGAAGCTGTTGAGCTGACTGCACATTCAGTCAGGCCAGGAACACATCAAATATGAAACTGGCCCTGCTCCAGCTATCCCTGTCCTCGTGCTCGTTCTCTAGTCTCTCCTCCCCTCCCCAGAAGAGCAGCATTACTCACTTCCCATGGGAATAGGTCAGTTTGTTGTTTTCAGATGGTATTTTCGCCAGGATCTGCTCCGTCACCTCCAGGAAGTTTCCTCCACACCAGGCATGTTTGGCCAGGATGGTTGTGCCCCTGGCCACAACAGCGAACAGGATAGCCATGGCTCCACACCACCTGGGAATAAAAACACGGCCAGAATTAGAGTCGCGTTCCTCGGCAGAGAAAGCGTCCTCATCTTACCAGTGTGCTCTTAGCCCTCAAGGTAACAACCTCATTCAGTACTTGACAGGATGCCGCTGTCAGAAACGCTGTCAGAAAGCTGCTCTCGTTTCCCCTTTTAGGGCTTGTTCAGAACCACACCAGCACTACAATCACCTCCAGGAGGTGGTTTCTCTTCCTGCACGCTGTCCTACAGCCAGCAGTCCCAAAAGGAATTTTGCCTCTCTCGTTTCCACCTAGACTTCTAGCTATTAGTACTTTTTTTTTTTTTTTTTTTGCGCATCAACGGACCCTAAGAGGTTTTTCTTGCTTGTGACTGAAAAAACCGCCCGTGGCCAGCAAGCTCCAGGCCAGGAAGGAAGGAGCTGTCTGGCAGCTATGTTATCTGCCATTCATCATACAGACCAAGCCCATCGGCCCAACACATGACTGCTCAGGGGTGAGGCCTTGGCTTCCATCGCTATCAAACTGAAGTAGAAAAACTGCCACTTGCTTAGAGTCACACCATGCCCATCCCCTCTGAATGGTCTAGAGACCCTCACTGCGCGGATGCTGTCCCCAGACCCTGTACAAGCACAAAGCCTGCGCTCCTCCCAGCCGGGCAGCGCTGTCCCCAGCAGCACCCAGTTCCACATCCTGACGTTCCTGCACACCTGTCACACCGGGCAGGTCACGGCGTGCCAGTGCTTGAGGGCCAGACTCCTGGGAAGTCCCCAGAGCTGGCAACGACGTCTGCTGTCACACAAAGGGACACGCTTAATCAGCTCAATATCATCTCATTGATCTACTGCCAGAGCCAAGGTTTAATGTGTGAACCCGCGTGTCAGACGCAGCTGGGACGTCTGCTTGGCTGCTCCCGTACACCCATAAGCCTCTCTGCTGCTTAGGAAAGACTTAAGATGACTTTTGACCCTGCAAAAACCCCAAAAATCTTATTTTTCACTTTGCACTTGCCTGCCCTCGTATTGCCTGCCTTGTTTTGTGTCTAGAAACAGCTGCTTGCTGCCTGGAGAGATCCCACACCTACTTCAGTGCATCCAAGCTGCTTGGAGACTGCTCTAGGACCAGGTCCAACAGCAGAGCCCCAGCTTTAGGATCCAAGGACCAGCCAGAACCCCCACCCCTCTGGCACCACCTGCAGCAACCTCCCCATCCCTCCTGCGTCAGGGGTTGGTCCTACCAAGCACTGCACAGACAGATCTGCCCCAGAGAGCTCCTGCTTTCCTGGGAACTGATCACAGCAGAAGGGGGAGGAACGCAGCTTCCCACTGCGTCCCACTGCGGCACAGCTCGCTTCGTCAGTCTGAGCCCGGCCAGCAACAGGCAGGGAATCTCCCAAACCTCCCCCAAGGTTAGGAGCTCAACAGTGGAGGAGAAAAAGAATAAATCTGTGGATTTATTTGGAGAATGGACTCCATGGCTAAGTGACAACGCCTGGGAGCACGGAGGTGCCGGGAGGCAGCACTGCCGAAGGGAACAGAAGGCAAAGGACGAGTGTCACAAGGGGCCGCAGCAGGAAGCAGAAGAGGACGGGGTCTCCAAGGGCAGCGCTTCGGAGCGCAGCACCCAGCCGAGCGCACCCTAGAAAACCCAAGAGTTCACAGTGCCGGCGAAGGGGAAGGGAGAACACACCAAAGCCTCACACCGCACAGCCCAGGTTCCCAGATAAGCCAGTCCTCCTTTGCTCCTCCCGACTGGGAACACAACAAAAGGGCATTGCTAGCTGAGGGGGAGGAAGCACCCGAGCACTCGGCTCCCCCGAACCGATCTGGGATCTGCTGCTTTCCCCTCCTCCGGGCCTGAAGCTCCACTCCCCCGGGCCATGCATCTGCCAAGGGCACGGGGAAGCCCTGGTGCTGCTTTGCACTGCTTCTTGTTTACCCTGTCCCAGAGCAAGGCCTGTTTGAGAACACAGGCACCTCGTTGCGGTTACCTGCAGCCCTTTCTGAGATGCCAGCTGCCCCTGTCCTCGCTCCCCCTGCCCAGGTACTCCCGCACTGCTTGTTTCCCACCCAGACACCCACCTCAGGGATTTAAACATCAGGATTGACACCCAGCTGACACGCTCACACTAAATCTGGCAGGAAGAGGGAAAGTGAAGCGTGCCCACAGCAGCAGACCCCCTGCCACTACTGGTGAAGGAATTTGGGTTTGCAAGCAGATGTTCCCCTGCCTTTCCCCCCTCCTCCCTTCCAGACCAAAGCAAGCAAGCTCCAGCTCATTGAAATGTCGTACAAAGAGGGGACAAACAGCTGGGTCTGGGTTTGGTTCCTCCCACGGTCACAGGGGAGCATCGAGCCTGTCAGCACTGCAAAAACAAAACCAAATTCTTTTCTATCCGAGAAGAGATGATCTTTAAACGTAAGGACAGGTGGTGCAACGTCCATGTCCACCTGAAGGTGTCTGTGAAAATTACAAATGCCTTAAAGGACTTCAAAACCACCCTTCCAAGGCATCCTACCATCTCTTGCAACGCTTCAGCTGCCGAGACCATCACATGACAGGCAGAGCGCCAAGTCATCTGCAGAGCTGCTCAGAAGCCCAACCACAACCTTCTCCCTCCAGCACCACCGGCCCAGCCTGCCAGCTCACATCTCACCACCCCAGAACACTCGCCCTTCCTTCCAGAAACCTGTGCTGGAGGAGCTCAGAGGGCTCAGCCTGCACGGATGCAGCACCGAGCTCTCTGACATCCTGCCACACAAGACTTCAGGGGCCAACCTACCAGTGGTTTTTTTTTTTTTTTTTCAGCCAGCAACCCCATGTCAACTGCATTAGAGCAGGAAAAGCAGTCACAGATTAGCTCAGTGCTACAGACATGGAAGGCTGAGGGTCAGGAAGCAAGACTCTAGCACCCTAAGCCAAGCCTTTCCTACCTCTAGTAAACACAGATAAGTTACTAATCGCAAGTCCCCCCTCCACAGACCTGAAGAGACTCAAAGCTTTATCCTGGCGCTCGCCCACAGCGTTATTTGTTTAGGACGGGAGCATTTGGACCTGGCACCGAGCAGAAGTGGAGATCAGTCGGAACTAAAACATAAAGGAACAAGCAACCCCTTGGGAACCTCCTGTAGGAGCCGCTACCCCCACCTGAAGAAGCCGTAACAGGAGAGAAGCCAAGCCAAAAACCCACCCAATGAGTTGGCAAAGGTAAAACAAAACTAAACCTTGGATAACTCGAGTTAAGCACTTATCATATCAGAGACAAGGGCAGCCACGCAGCTGATTCTGATCTTGTACAGAGCAATGATTAACTGCAACTGCTCCTGGTTCCTCCTGATTAAAGAGCCAGCAGCTCATGCCTGGCTGACAAGGCCAGAGAGAGTGCAAGCATCTTCCCAGAAAAAAGTAAAATTAAAATAACCAAATGTCCAGTCCTGCAGAAGCGACTCTCTACAAGCTTGGACTCCTCCCCCATCAGCTGTACAAGGAAACATCCCTGAATCCTCCCCCGGCCACACACGCTGCAGAACAGCAGCAGCCCGCACGGCAGCATGGCAGAGCCCGCGTGGGCAAAGAGGGATTCCCGGAGTAACTCGAGGTTCACACTGAGGATTATAAAGTGGCTCAGACAACTTCTAGAAGTCTCTTTAAAGACAAGTTCTAAAAGTTCTTTTAACACCAGGTATTTCCAGCACTCACATTAGCGAGGGGACAGTTCAGCAGTGCCACTGGTGACACTCCAGGACCCTGCTGTCCTGCAGCAGCAAGGAACAAACTCCCTGAACCCACAGTCTGACCCAGGAGACAAGAGCCGTGGACTCTGCAATGGCACCTGCACCCAGCCTTGGGCAGAACGGATTAAACGAAGCAAAACAGATGAACACAGAGCATATTTCTCTCCCTAATCAGCTGTAAAACTCACATATTGCTTCTGTTAGGAACACAGACCTACTGAACTGCCAGAGGACATCTCTCCTCAGAGCCTCCAGAGTCAGGAATTCAATCCAGTAAAATCACCCCCTTTGTCCCTTCATCCAACCTAGGGATCACAACCATTTTCCATCTAAACTCACAACCTCAAATGGCTGGAAACAGCCCAGACCAAGCCTTCGTAACAGAAAAACTCCCTCAGAGGCGTCAGGGAGGCCCTGCACGGAGAGGGTCCGAATGAGGAGGGGGAGAGGGAAAGGCTGCACTCCTCAGCCACCCAGCACCCACAAGGGACCTGCAGAGCTCCTACAGCTGGCAGAGACGAAGCACAAAGGTGAGCAGAGCGTTGCGTTCGTATCGCAATGACTATTGACTCGTTGCAAGATGCAGCGTGCTGCTGGCCCCGAGGCCTCTCGGGGTGTTTGACAGGAGGGCACAGAACAGCCTGCAGCACCTGAAATGCCAGAGCCACGGGTTGAGTCCTCGATGGGATGTTTGAAACCTCAGCAGGGGTGATGTCTTATTTCCAAGTGAGACACAAAACAGCTTGTTGGTTGCTCTGACTTCACCAAAGATCGGGAATAAACCATGGGATGGCAGATAAGCCAGCCGGGGCAAGAAGGGAAGGCAGAAAGCTGCGCCCATCCTCTGTCAGCAGTGCTGCCCTGACCAGCCGAGGGGACTCGTCAGTCCCTCTTCTTGACCAGAAGATTCCCAGCCCGAGTGCCAGCCAGTGCTGGAGGAGGTTACGGCTTGATCCTTCCAGGAATCCTCCTTACAGGAAGCAAGGAGCTTCACATCACTACTGGCTTTAGACATGAAACAAGTGTTGCAACCCTGCCAGTTGCAAACTGCCTGACTGCAATAAGAAGATGGTTTCAGTGGGGTGACTTCAGCAGAAAGCAGACCAGACCAGACCAGACTTCCCTTTAACCCCTCCTTGCCATCTGCAGGTTGCTATTTCCATACCCCAGCCGTAAGCCCCAGAGTTTGTTTGTTCATTTGAAGCCTACAGAGCATCCTGTCCATGCACCGGCTCCACAGCTCAGCTGCCTCCCTGCCGGCAGAG